CATTATAATTCTTCTCTAACATTCAATTTTCCTTTAAAAGTTATTGAAATCAACATCAACTGTATAAATCCATACTTCAACAAACACACATTAAGACAAGAATCATGTTAAAATAGCAAGTAGCTCAACAAACATAAGGCATTTAATCTCAATAAGGTTTTTTAAAGCAGTTTCAATTTTAATATTAACAAACATATTAATTCGTTAAAAAGATTAAAAAAAAATTTTATATAACTAAAAATTATATTATTCAATCTTCTAGAACCAATTCATCGTCTCCCACTTCCTCTTCTTCCATCTCTAGCATGAGATCAGCTCCATCTTCATCTTCATCAATATCATATCTAACCTAAGTCATATCTTTAATGCTATCCCCCATTGATAGACTATTGTGTTGTACCCCCATATCAAAAACATCTCTTAGTTTAGCAAACTTGACAATAAGCCAACCATTGTCCCTTTCATCTTCAACATAGTAGACTTTTCTAGCTTGTCAATGCTAAAATGAATGGATCGTCGAGTAAATTGTTGCCTTTATGTGTAAGACATGAGAAGTTTACATGAGTGAAGTGAAGATTATCCTCCATGCAACCTCAATTAATATCTACCCAATCACATATAAAAAGCATAAACTTATATATACTAGAATAATTCAATTCAATGATATTAGTTAATATTCCATAGTAGTCAATCTCTTTTTTTACAAGCTGTCCACTATTATAGCTTTAATCTTTCACTATAATATCAACACCCCTATTCTAAGTTTTCAATGATCTCTCGTGTTTCTTATGGCCTATTTGGTATAGTAATTTTGGGGTAACGATTAACGGTTTTTCCTAAACTGCTAAACATAAGTATTTGGTAACTTTACATATTTCAAAATTGTTACAAATAAGATGTTTGATAAAAATTTTTATTTAATAGTTTAGGACTAGCGGATAATAGTTAGGGTTTAACTGCTAGCGGATTGAAAAAGTTAGTTTAGGTAGTTTTTTGTATCAAACCACTAGTAAATTGGAATTTTTTGAATTTTATTGACATATTTATCTTTTTTAATTTTTTAATTTTTTATCATAGTTTTTAATTAATATTTATCTACTAAGTTTCAATATTTTTTACCTTTAATCACATTAAGTGATTATAATATTTTTATTTTTTGCATTCATTTATCATTAAAAAATATATTAGCTTAAAAAACAAAATTTGCTAGTTACACAAAATGATTAATTTTT